CCATTGTGGCAAACAGGCCATTTGGCTCAAGGAATGTAATGATTTATATTGCTACTTTACCTGGTTATTTTATAAAAATATGATACCAAAAAGTGTGTATGACAGAGGAAAAAGATCTGCCCAGTCAAATCTATATAATTATCTATATACAGTAAATAAAGATAAATTAAAATTCTCTTCTGATGGAAACTAGTTTCCCTGTCCTGAACTCATCATCACATTAGCATATCTCTGAAGTTAAGGGACCGGTCCTGAAAAAAAAATGTGGTCTGTATATCAGGCTTCCTTATCACTTTGATTTTACTTGCTATGATGCAGATAGACTATCCTTATTCTACTGATGTTATCCTACTGCAGCAGGGATTGCCATCGCTAAGCAATGTAGTCACACTTTATGACCATACTGTTTAGCAATAGAAATTCCAGTTCCAACTGCCATCATAAGTGAAGGACTACCTGCACTTCCAGGACACTCCCCCCCCCTCCAAAAAAAACCTGCTTCAGAAAGTTAAGATGGGGATGATTCGGTTACTGAGATGAAGGTCACCCAGTTGGTGACTGACTGGTAGACTTTCAATGGTTTGACTTTGAGTCAATATAGTGTGCTCCATCTGGTGCCCTTTGTAAGATGGTAACTTTACAACATATTGGAAGAGCATCAGGTAGAAGTTGAGCTGCAACATATCTTTAAATCTGATTCTAGACAGCAGGCGATGCACGGTCTGTGACGGGACGTACACTCAAGGTGAGAGATGTCAGTTCTGTTTTACGACGAGTTATTAAGACAAAGAAACACTCACTTCACCGCGGAAAGATAAAAGTAAAAGGGTTAGAACGGACCGGTCGTTAGTTGAATATACGTTCCGTCAGACGTTTACCTCGGAGACCTACAGAAAGTCGGTGTAGTTTTATTAGTAATGCCACAACAACTATACAGTGTCAGAATACTGAAGTTACAGGGCTTCTGCATGCCAATCCAGATAAGTATTTACAATGTGGGGATGGGCAAGTATTAGTTAGGACATAGCTAGATAAAAAGGATTACATTTGGTTGAACAGATTTTATAAGTGTTCAGTAAACATTTAGGAATATGCAACTAACTACTACATAGGTATACAATCCATATTTGGTGTTCTTTGTTCAATAATTATACCAAAATATGCAGTTCTCTGCATATTTTCCCCTTCTCATTCAATTTATCTCCTTCATAAACAATCTAATTTATCTAAGGCATTGACTCACTCAAGATGGGATTGGTTGGTGGTGCTCATAACATATAAAAACAGCATTTCTTTTCCAGTTCACAAAGAGAATACAAACTAGAGAAAATGCCACTGAGTGGAAAAGCCATTCAACAAAAGGGCAAATGAGTTGTATTTTGTCGTTCAAGAGAATCTCACCAGCATATTACTTTCTATGACACCAACTATTTTGTGAAGCTTTACGTTTAGTTCATATCAAGTGCTTGCCTGCAGGAATCTCATAAAAAAGACATGATTTCTGGAAAAACCTCCTTCAGCTCAGCAATAACATTTCAACTGTTACAAAAAACAGACCTTATGGAGCTTTAGAGATAGTGAGAATGGGCTCATTAAGCTCCGCATAGCCCAGCCCAGATAGTCTCTGCATCAGGAAGAAACCAAGAAAAGAATTCTACATTACACCAGAAAATACTTCAGACTTTAATCCTAAGTAATGTGATCTGGTCTCAAGGGAATGCACGACACACTGATTAACCTCTGTAACACATTAGGAAGGTTACTGCCATGGTTGTACAGATTCTCTGAACCTATCATGGTAAATTACTGCTGAAAGACCCATATTCCCATGAATCTCTCTAATTTCTCTTTAACTCCATCTAATTTAATGGCCACTATGTAGTTCCAGGATGAAAAACATGCTACCCTCCAAATTATTATTAATTTGGATCCTGTCTTATTATTTTTACAAATATCTCAAGGCATCACCACATTTTCCATCTTCACTATTAACTATGTTGACTGGTGCTGCTGCATTGTAATTAAAAATACCTGGAAGGCCAAATGATAACCTCCCATCAAGAGATATGTGCTCATGGTCCAGAAACCCATAGGATTGCTTTATGACCATGCTCCTTGGACATTACTTTCTCTGGCTGCCATTTCCTCCCAATCTTGTCATAGGTTCTTCTATTCATTCCAATACAGCTCGTCACTACTACTAATCTTTTATTGGTTACCTCAGTAAATGTATGTAATGAAAACAGAAAATTGTAATGTTCTTTAAGGTGCACACCCCAAGTATCAGAGATCTTGTGTTCCCAGAAAGTAGAGAAACATTTTCAAATTAGACTCTACTGATACCTGGGCATCTCAGATGCTTTGCTCTAATAGCTAGCCATTATCTCCTTCCTCTCCTATCCCTCAATACCAAAGGAAGAAATTTCCTCCTGCATGCCATTTTAAAAAGTGTTTTATAATTCCGAGGGACCATGCTGCAGTGAAACCTATTTTTTTAGTTAAACAAATTCACATGTTCTAGAAATCTGGAAGGTTCTTTCATACAACAAAAGATCAGGTTCGCCATTCAACCATCAAAGATTGACATTGCTTTACCATTTATTTCTTCTGTTTGACCCACAGTTTCTTTTTCATTTCCACAGTTATATATGCAAACCTGACTCAACTGCTTCCTTTTTCCCTGGTAATATTCCTCTGCTCCCTTAACCTAAAAAGGAAAAATCATTCTTTCAGGTCAAGCACAACTCCTGATGGCTTCAAATGACTGTTCTCTCAGTTCCCTCTTTTGTCATCATCTGCCTGAAATCTTCCCTACTACCATACCTTTTGTTGAAAAAGTCCCACAGTATCTTTAATTGGTTTGCTTTGTGAGATTTGACTTTTCAGGAATGTCGCATTCATAATGCGCAAGAATAAGTATAAATAAGCAGACACTGTAATTATATAATATTTAGTATGTAACTAATACTTTTAAATTTTTGACAGCAATGCATATACAGAGCTGATTAGGCTAAGGCTAAACAGGCACTAGTATAGGCACACCAAATTTTAAGGTATGCAAAAATCAAAAAGACTTCCAAAAAACATAATAGAAAAATGCAAAGTAGTAATGACATTCTCCATGATGCAGCATGTCCACTTGAGGGTTAAATATAATTTCACAGTGTAAACAGGGTGAAAATATCCCAGAAAAATAATATCTGGGGCTGAAAATCATAAATGGAAAGCTGAAAGAAGAAGAAAAAAACACAAAGAGGACGCCTTTTAAAAATCCTTACAAAAATGTGCCGAACTATAGACCTAGGGTAGCAAAATATCCTGCATATATACCAGTATAATTATCTCCTATTCCTGCCATCACCTTATTGTTAATGTTCATTGTTTCAAAAAGTGAACTACTGAAAGGCCATGAGAAAAACTAGCTGAACAACAAAAAATCAATATTCAGACAATTGTTTATTAGGCCAACACAGTTTTATAAAATAAGTATGCAATGCTAATTTATTCCTGGCCATTTTAATTGTTTAATTAAAAACTCAAAAGCTTTCATACTATTTTACAAATCTGAAATTGGCCTTAAAAAGATACCAACATGAGTTTCATGTATATAATACAATCCACTGATATTATTTCCATATTGGTTTGAAAGTAGAAAACTGAATTGTTCTTGGTTCTTAAATCCTGGAGAAGGTACGAAAACAACAGAATTCTAGAATAAGTTAGACAAATAGAGATTGTGTCAGTTGGAAACACAGCCACTCCTGTCTTTCTTATACCTATATAAAGTCACATATTAAAAAGGTTTTCTTCTTATCAACGTAAGTCACCTTGCAACAGCCTTGAATTTGTCATAAACTGCCAAAAGAAGGCTCCTCAATGAGACAAAACAACAGACTCTCTAGCAATATATCAATTTCATTTCTTATTACTAAATTATTGTATCCAGATTCATTGGAATTTATATCAGATTACATCTCTCATCAAGAAGATTATCAATTTGCATGAAATAAACAATTTTGATATGATGAATGTACGGATAATTGATTTATTATAATTGGTTTTTAAATGTATTGATTGTATCAATTAATTGAGGCAGCTGGAATGTCTCTGTTTTATAGTCATGCACACTGTTCACAACCTTGGGATTGGACAATATAATTTTTTTTGGGTAATACAATACAATGTAGAGTTCTTTCTAGACACAGCTGCAGCATTCTTCATATAATACACTCTGTAGTTTAATAAGGCAAGATGTTTCTTTATTTTTAATTCCTTTTGAAAGAGCACTTATTAAGAAATACAAAAAAGAGTATGTGTGACCTGCAGAGTGGCTTTGCAAAAAGTAACAGATGGCATATTTAATACTAAATTCAGTGCCTCCCAATCTTATCATTTCTGCTCACAGGTAAAAAAAAGTGGAGTGTCCCTTTTCTGGGAACTGGGAGTTTGGTTAAATTCTGCTTACCTTTCCTATTTTACTCACATACTGTGAGTAAAATAATAGAGAAAGATACCATGTGCAGCTATATTAAGTTGGAAAAGTTTAAAATAGCAGCAAGTACCATACGTACAAACATATGTACGTTCGTTCGTATGTACGTACGTACATACGTACGTACATACATACATCTTAGAGAAGAAATCTGCCTGGACAACACTGAAGGTAGATGAGAAGGGACTGCCCTTTTTGCATAGCCTCTTTTCTAACACCCTCACATCTGATTGCTTGTCCTGTCAAGAACTAACACTTTGGGTGGAATATATAATGGTCTGAGTATTGTAAAGACTTAGCATCATATGGAAAAGCATCGCTTTATTTTGGAGATAAGTTAAAAGGTTTGTGCTTTCTAAATTTTTTGCACAAAATCTAAAAAATAAAAATACATATTATGCTCTCAAAATTGAATCAAGGTAGAGGAAATAATTTATGCATCTCTTAAAAAATGAATTACACAGCTCACCCATGACCATGTAGACCCATGTGCATTCCACGGGGAGGGGGGGAGGGAAAGTTTCCTGTATCATGCTGTGTTAATCTCTCTTCCTTAAAACTAATTGCCAAATAACACAGCAGAGAAACACTATTTTCCCTTAAAGAAAAGTGAGCAAATTCTACCCACCTCACCACCTCATGACCTAACTCTAAATCCTAATCCTGGCCACTGTCTTTTAAAATCTGGGATTTAGCTCTCCATGTCTGCCAGACTGGTTCAGAATCCACCTTCTGTCTAGAGCACCGTGCCGTTACCAGGCCTCCTAGCTTCTAGTATTAGGACAAGAAGTTTCATATAGCTGCCCTTCCTCCAAAGACGTCTGTAAATTTAGGCAGGTAAATGAACAATTACAGCAAAGGAAGCACAGCAGTAAGAACCAAAATAATGCATATTATTTGTTTCCTGAAAAAAACTTCTCAAAAGTGTTCCCAGAAATCATCATTATCACCAACACCTACCGCCTTGCTTCTAGGTACAAAAGCTCATTTTGGTTGTAAGTCCCAATGCAGTTTACCTGAAGAATCTCAAGGATTGTTGAACAGGGTTCACAGCAATGCTATGGATGGAGGAAACAGCTTTAAATAGGGATGCAGGATATAAAGGCAGTCTCTTCCACCTTGTTCACCGGTTCTTAGTACCAACTCTGCATCAGGATTAGCGTATTCCCATATCGCAGCCCATTCTCCATATGCAAAACAGTTTCTTCCCAAAAATCAGGTCCCCACCCACTTTAGTATCATCTTTTTTTCCATAAATGTCTATTCCTCAAGTCACATCAAATGCCAGGATTATTTAAGAACCAACATAGGATCTGTCCTATCTTTTCTTATTAAATGGATTCCGTGAATGAGATAGTATTCCCTCTGCAGGAAGGCATAAAAATAATCTGAGATGAGAAAAATCTGCAAAAGAAAGAGAGAGAAAGAAAAAAGTTGACATAACTTCCTTTAAAACAAAATGATTGCACTCAAGAGATATTGTAAACATTAAAACATACCCCTATATGCACTTAGCAGCATAAACAAATTCAGACTGATTTATGGAGATTTGGATTTACTTTATCTAAAGCCAGGTGACTGGATTATAATAATAATATTACAATCAGGAAATCCCAAATTCTCAAGTTCAAATCATTCTCAGATCTGCAGCTCAATGTATATCAGTGTTTCTCAAACCTGACAACCAAAGATGTGCGGATTTCAACTGTCAGAAATCCTCAGCCAACTGGGGAATTCTGGGAGTTAAAGTCTACACATTTTAATGTTATTAAAGATTAATAACATTAAGATTAAGAAATGCTGATCTATATTACAGACAGAGCTGGCACCAAATTTGTTCTCATTAAAATTCTCCCTGTTGGAATTCCTTTGGCATCAGCAGTTTTCTCCTTCCAGAGAGAAAGAGTGATTATGGGAAAATGCAGCCATTCATAGCTAAATGCCACTGGCAAAGGATATAAAGGAAAATAGATATGAGTGTCTTAAATCCTGTATTTCTTTGCACACTGAAGAGCAATATTATCTTTTGCCAAAAGAACAGCACCTGTTTTAGTGGTTCTAATACAATCAGTATTCCAAAAAGAATACTGACTCCCTTATGTTTGACTAGGAAATCTGAAAGTGCATTGGACCTCTGGTTTTAAGGATCCTGATAAAGCACTGAATCTAAATTTAAAACAAAAAACAAAAAAAACCCATAATACACAACTTCTAAACTATTCAGAATATAATGCCTTGGTTTAAAGTTGATTTATGAATAATCATTCATTGGGAAGCTATGAATTACTGTTTTGGATTTGAATATTACAAGAATACATGGTTAACTATGACTCCTATCTTCTTTACTCCCTTGTGCAAACAAAATGAGTATCTTAAATCTGTGTATAGAAAATCTTGTCCAGTTCTTCATAGAAGAATATGACTTTGTATAGCTCAATCATGTTAGTTTGCATACTACAGAGTAACATATGGACCAGAGATAAACCATATTTGTCTATAGCAGGGGTAGGCAACCTTGGCTCTTTTATGACTCCTGGACTTCAACTCCCAGAATTCCTGAGCCAGCTTGGCTAAGCAGAGAAACCTCTCCCTTTCCCCTCAGCATGGCTGGCTCAGGAATTCTGGGAGTTGAAGTCCACGAGTCATAAAAGAGCCAAGGTTGCCTACCCCTGGTCTATAGTATAGATGCCAAAAAAATACTTATTTTTAAAAATGGCCAACATCTTGCCATATAGTCAAATGTTCTGAGATTTTAATATTCTAGGTTAAATTCATGTGATAATTTGGTATTGTCACTCAATCTTCAAAAATGTTGATGTTCCCATGATTTGGGACATTTTCAATTTATACTTTTAAATTAATTTTATTAATAGAAGCCAGCTAAAACCTGTGGGGGCCACCCTGACTAATATAGTGGTTCAGACAAAATCTGATGACAATATAGTGGTTTGCCTAATGAAAAGTTTGAGAACCATTGCAATGGACTATTTTTGTAAGATATCAGGATTTGTTTTCCTTTGCAAGCCCAACAAAACTTATTGCCAATGACAACCTGAGCCTTAGAGCAATGCTTCCATTATGATACATGCTGAAATGTACCAGTCAATATTGTAAGATTTTTTTTTAGATTAATAGATCAACAAAAAAATAAAGGTTCAAATTCTGGATTTATAGAACTAAAACAATATATGAAGATAAATTTGGAGGACCAAAATACTAAAGATCTTTAAAGTGAACAGATGGAGTAGATACGAACAGCTGATCTAATCTCTGAGCGAACATTTCCACTAAAACTATAGATTAATGCTTTGAAATATTCAGCATCAGAGGAACAAAACAAGATAGATAGCTGCATCACAGTCAACAGTATTATGCACTTCAAAATTGCATAACTTAGGTCCAATCCAATACAGCCACATCTGTAATTTTCAGCTATAGCAGAAAATAGATTTTGTATAGCAACACACTTCATCACACTCAGATTTAGTAGTACATAACTTGCAGGAGTACCACTTCCTTTTTCTGATGATCAACCGTTAAAGAATAGGAGAGCACTATAAAGAGGACTAACTAACTGCACACTGATGATTACTAATCAACTAAAAGCAGATGGGTCTAGGAAATTGGCAAGGCAGTCAGGAAATTCCAGCTATGACAGAGAAAGCAGCTGTCATTCCAACCTATCAAGCTGAACCAAGTTCTCATGCAAATAATACTCATATAAGAGAATACTGTGTTTTGCTTTCCCATTTTCCCCACAACTCTAATAAAATGTATTTGGATTTGAAGCAGCAAATTTTGCAGAAAATGGTAGGTTGCCAAAATTACACCATGTATATGATGACAAAATCATGCAAATACTGTGATTATATATTTCAGTCAAGACAACTGTTAAATCTATAATTCGTGGCCTTTGTGTAATCATATACATCATCACATGGACACAGACCCTTGTTCATCACTGCTGATGCCCATAATTTGGAAACAAAGCAGAACCAAAAAGACCAATTCAACAACCCTGACAAATGTTGTGATAGCACATTTGAAAGATGGATATTAACTAGACAAATTGTATTAAAAAAACTTGCCCTAGAAAAACCGTTATATAGACATAAAAACTTATTAAATTTGGGATCTACATGAAGCCCTTGTCTACTGGATTCCTATTTATCTCCACTATGGAAAGATTTACAATACTTTTTCTTTTGGATATAAAAGAAAGCCAAGAGTCCAAAAATATATGTTTTTATGTTTAGTACCAGAGTACTTTCAAATATGTCTGGAATGTCTAGTACCTTAATACTGATATAAAACAAAGGTTTTATACTTAAACCAAACACAATATTTTGTTTCACTAACCTGGCCTACATTGAATGTCAATGTGATTGCATAATAAAAATTGGAGTTTGCACTTCCTGCATAAATCCACAGATGCCATAAAACCGGGAACAGCAGGGAACAGACAATGAGAACACAGGAAAGTATGAAGACATTCCGCAAAACTGCAACAAAAAGCAGAGACATCATTAAAGCTGGTTAATTGATACACTGAGGCATTGTTGGCTTGTCCTATCTTAGTTACAATGGGTGGCACATACTAATTTAGAGGGTGGATCCAGAGACAGCTGCTACAGAGGTCCCTTTCTTAGAATCGGTAATTAACCATAGTTCCTGTGGGGGAGGAAAACTTTGAGAGGTTTATTTGTGCAGACTTCCCAACTACACAGGCCCAGATTCCACTTCCTGAATTGAAGCAGGTGCAAACTACAAAATACAAGGATATCAAAATACAAAAAGGGTGGATACTGGGTGGAAAGCTAATTCTGGAGTGAATTCTTCCTGTTCTAAAATAAAATTCTAAACATTCTAAAATCTAATATTTTATAGAACACTGTTTCCCACACCCTTTTGAGATGCATTACTTAAGTTGATGCCTTATAATTAAAAACATATATTTAACATCAATAAAGTACTTTAATTCACTGATTTTTTTTAGTTTTATATTTTATAACAACAACAAGACTCCCAAGATGATTCAACAATACACTGAACTCATAAAGCCACACATTATTCTCTGAAAAATCTTATGTGACCAAAGGGTTTCAGATAAATACATCAGAAGAAAAAAATAAGTAGAGAATATTGCTCAGTTTTCATGAATCAGCTAGTCACATTTTTTAACTTTCCCAACTGGAAATGAGATTCACCATTTCATGAAATTAACAGTTCATTGCTATAACTGCTTCATTCAGAAATGTATTAAAATATTCGGAGAAACCACCCACTGGAAGCAGATTTTGGAGCTCCTTAGTATAGAGAAAATGGCCGAAACCCAAATATTTTTAAACCACAGGTCCCACTTATGAAAAATAATGATATTCTATTAGATATTCTATATTTCTTCATGGCTCATTGTCAAGGTAAGGACCGTTATGCACAATTCCCACATTAATAATAATACAGAACTTACACTGATATAAATGGCTCCAGAGAGGAAGGAAGGCCATGTAGAGAGCAATATCACCTACAGTTGGGTAGGACTTAAAGATGGAAATGATGGCCAACTGAACAAACATGAAGAACATGGGATGTTCCCTAGAAAAGAATAAAAAAAGACGGTAAGTAACTGGGTGAGTGCGTTGCTACTGTTCTTCCAATTTACATATTCAATATTACAATTAATTAGCTTTAATGCACAACATTCAGAATAATGAAATAAAAGGCACTTTAGACTTGTAACACTCTACTAAACAACTCTAATATATCTAGCTTCTGTTATTTCTATAGCAAATTTCAGCTACAATTTCTTTATCCCAGGTGACACTCTGAAGACTTGTGGAATTGTTACTTGGGAATTCTCCTGTCTAAAAATTCTGGAAGTTGCATTCACAACAGATCTGGAATATGCTAAGTGGGGGAAGACAGGGCTACATGAAGCAAAAAGTAAAATAAAACAATAAGGCCAGTTCTTTCACTCAGATAGTCTGCGGTTTAAAGTATTCTAAAATGGATTAAGTAAACTAAATGTATTTGTTAGTGAGAGATGTCATTTGTGTCACTGTATCAATTGCTCTCCCAGTATTAAAAATATCAGAAGCCATCTGATTTATTTCATGTACGGGTGATGTATGCAGGCATTTTACTTTGAGACAGAATAGAACTTTAGAAACATTACAAAGCTGGAGAGTAGTTTTGAATTATTTCATTAAAAGTCCATTAAAACCAATTGCTTGGTATTACCTCATGCTTGGAGGTGATCAAACCCTCAATATGGGTAACTTTTCTTCTAGCAATGCATTATTTGCCTTCGAAATGAAAAGTGCTGCTATATATTAAAATGCTGCCACATCCTCTTTCAAAACAGATTCTGAAAATACTCAAATGAATATTTCATTATTCTCCAAGGTGGCTTCTGCCATGGAAGAACTATTTTTCTAACAAGGGAAGGCTCCCCCAGTCTCCTGCCGTAACACTTAATCTAAAAAGACTCTCTCTCTCATGAGATACTTATCATAGGTAGTCCTCAGCTTACAGCCATTCATGTAGTGACCATTCCAAGTTACAACAGCACTAAAAAAAGTGATTTATGAACATTTTTCATGCTTCGGCCGTTGCAGCATCCCCATGCTCACGTGATCAATATTCAGATGGTTGGCAACTGGCATGTATTTATGATGGCTGCAGTGTCCCAGGGTCATGTGATCACCTTTTGCAACCTTCTGACAAGCAAAGTCAATGAGAAAGCCGGATTCACTTAAAAACCCTACTACTAACTTAAGAACCACATTGATTCACTTAATAGCGATGGCAAAAAAGATCATAAAATGGGACAAATTCATTTAACAACTGTCTAGCTTAGTAATGGAAATGTTCTGCTCAATTATGGTCGTACACCAAGGACTACCTGTAGTGGGTATAAGACAAAGGAAAAAAATAGCTATCACTATATAATGCCAGTAGCCTATACTGTACGAGTGTAAATTCTTAGTAGGAAAAACTAAACTGTTTAAATCATTTTAAATTGATTCTTGAAAGTTTAATTTTTAGTCAAACTAAAGTAATAGAAGATATTACCAACAATTAATCTGAATTAATGTTATGATTATGCAAATAAATGAATAAATGTCAAGAAGTTGCTTACTTTAATTTTAGCGCTAATGGAATAGTGTAGAAGAAGACATTGATTTGAAAAACACACACAAAAAAGAGACTGAAGTGTTCAAACATTTCAGCAAAGAAGTACCAGAAAAGGCCAACATTGGGTGTCAGGTCTGGAACAGAAAGGCTGAAATTGACAGAACAATATCATCATTAGTGAATTATCTGTATCTATAAAATTATACTCAGGTTCACAATTAACTTCCAAAAGATGACTGGGTTAATATGTTGCAGAAAACACTACAAACAGGAAGTGTTTCTGTTCACTATGAAGACATATGAAAATAAACGCAGGGTTTTAAAAGATATTTTTAAGATTTTTTTGTTTGTTAGATTTATATTCAACCTTTTCTTCAGGAATAAAAGTTAATGGGCAGAGGGCTCTCTTCTTCTATCTTCCCCCAGATCATCTCTATGAGATAGGTTAGCTCAAAAGAGAATGATTTACTGAAGAAATATCCCTAAAGCTGGAAGGAAGGATCATATATTTGTTTCTTTTTAAATCTTATATAGAATGTCAATTGTCCAGAAACATATTAAGCCTAAGCATGACAAATCACAGTGATTTCCAAGATCCAGTTTGCTTTAGTTGTTAAGGCACCAGGATAGAAACCAGAAGACTGAATTCTAATCCTGCCTCAGGCATGAAAGGACTTTGGCCCATTCATTCTCTCTCAGCCCAACTCAGGTCACAGGATTGTTGATGTGGGGAAAATAGGAGGAAAGAATTACTATCTGAACCACTCTGAGTTATTTAAATAAACAGGTGGGATATAAATAAATACATAAAATAAAAATAAATAAAACTTACTGAATTCTGAACTAGTTCATTGCTGGAGAGATGAAGTAACTGAGCCCTGACTCTCCAGCCTAGTCAACTATAATTGCTCTTCTCAGTTGCAAAATGCAGTGTATTTTATCAATCTTTCTATCATATCCAACAGAAATAAGGTATTAGCATTCATCTGAAAATGTTTTTTGCTTTTTATTCAAGAAACGTAAGTCCGCTACTGCTTGCCTTTTCACGGCAGCAAATTTTGTTTCTTTTAACAATTTTATTTCGGGTTTTGGAGAAGTATTTATTACTTTAAAAAAATATTAAAACCCCTCAATAATAAAAGAGCAGAAAATAAACATCCATTTTCAGTACTTCTACTCAAAAGACAATTGTAAAGATAATACAGAGTCACCTGGTTGAGTGGGGTGGAGAAAAAAATTGAATAAATGAATAAAATAAAAATAAATAATATATTTGAACTTTATCATTTAATACATTTCTCATGTGTAGCTCATATATAATGTAAGATCATGCTGATCTTTTTCAATGGAGTGAAACAAGTCCCAAGACGAATGTCAGCAACTATCATCCAAAACAAGTAACAGCAATTTGAAAATCATAATATTCCTTTTTTTACTACCATTTTTACACTGTCATTTCTGGGGAAGTCAGTGCTTGGAAACAACAAAAAAAAAAAAACAAAGACGCTAAATGGACAATGTAGTCCAAAGCACAGCATTACATAGGCTGTCCTATAAAATAATCCTGGCAAGTGTCTATGGAGATTTTCAGCCATCCAGGCCATGGTTGTCCCAAAAATGCTTTTCAAAAGGCAGCAGGACTTTCTTTGTTTTTTCTTTGAAAACATTTCACTTCTCATCTAAGAAGCTTCTTCCGTTCTTGAACAACTGAAGAACTGAAGAAGCTTCTTGGATGAGAAGTGAAACATTTTCAAAGAAAAAACCAAAGTCCAGTTGCCTTTTGAAAAGTACCTTTGGGACAATCCTGGCAAGTGCTGATCTAACCTGCTTTCTAAAAGCCACTGAAGATTTTTCATCATGCCTGAGCAGACCTCCAAGGTCCCTTCCAACTTTTTTATTATTATTATTGTTGTTGTTGTTGTTGTTGTTGTTATCTATATGCAGCTTTTTACATGCATTGTTGTATTAGTGAACATAGATTTTCTCATTCCACAGAATTTAAGCTGTGAATTTTTTAATCATGCAGTCCATACTTAAATGCCAATATAGCTTAATCACACTTCTGTTTTACTGAATGAATTAAACACTTCCCAAGTCACTCAGATAAACAAAGTTATATTATTTATCCAGGATGCTGAAACAAGAAATTGTCTAATTAATAAGACATTGAACAAAACAAATTGTTTTAAAAATAGAAGGTTTGATTCAATTATTTCTTTTAGAACTCACAAGGTAGGAGAGAGATCTTTGTCCTATATGTAGGTGGTTACAATGCAGACAAACAGGATCTACTTACATGAAACCATAAACAGATGGAATGAAATCCCATGAGTTGAGGAGGAAGAATGAGAGGCAAATTATCACTATCAGACTTCCCAAATATAGTCCCGCATATTGTATGGTGTAAAACCAGAACTCCTTGCTTTTCATTTTCACTGGTATGAACTGACGCTAGAGAGAGAAAAAGTGACCACAAAGTATATAGTTTTGAAATGTCTGTATGTAATTTCTTGCCAGCAAAATACATGAAAAAGCTTTCTTTAAATTATTTAACACATTTACTTCTGATATTAAGTGAAGACATTAGAAGAAAGAAAATGCTATGGGAGGATTCACTTTCAAGCTCATATAAAAATCTGGAAACTGTTGTGCATATGATTGCATAGTCTTTCCTCCATAGAAAGGAATTGATCTCGGTGAAGAAAACTGTCTGGCTAGATCTAGAACATGAAAAATCATCTTTGCAGGAAGGATGATTACAGGATACATTGAAGGAGATAATAGTAAATCCATTCTTGTTTCTTAATGATTTTCTACACACAATAGCATTGTCATTTTAACATTGCTGCTTGCACATATAATTTTATTTATTTATTAATATTTTATGCTGCCTATCTCCCCTATAAGGTGACTCTGGGTGGCTTATAGTAATGCAAATTATGTACTCCATTACAATTCGGCCTGATGAAGGATTTTATCAGCCTTGGTTGTCTTAATGATTGATGTTAATGGGAAGAGAAAAGGGTAAACCAACTCTTTGGATTTTCTTGCTCTAAAAGACTTTTGAAACTATCAACCATGGTAATCTTCTGGATTGATTCTGGATTATGACTTGAGAGAACAGTATCACAGCAGAGCCTTTGGAAGTCTTTATTCAGAGAAGTGGGAGAGAGGTAAATGAAAGAGAACCACTGCCAGCTGCAGTTCTTCTTCCAGATTTAATTGATTTCAGAGAAATAGCTGCCAACAGTAGTTTCCTTGCAGCAACAAGATCAGCACAGATAATACCCCAATAATTTTAATCACAAGAGTTAAGATCTCTGATCCTATGAAGATGATTTGCAAGCAATTTACAGTTTGCTAGCCATCAGCCTACTAGCAATTTTGTAGGTAAAGTTATTCCTCTGCAAGACTAGCAATTCATGGTGGCATATCTTTTTATTTACTGAAAATTTTAAAAAGACTCATTTGTTCTCATGTAATAGATACCTGTAATAAATAGAGAAGGGCTGGTGCAAACAAGGTAAGAGGATACAAAGACTGGTATGTTGCTAATGCCAGAAATACAGCACTCAGAAAAGTACTACCTGTAAAATAAAGAGAAAAGGTGTAAATAGCCAATAACAACAAGCTTCTGGGTGAAAAGGAAAATATAATCTCTTAATATTTATAGCAAATCCATATAAAATGTGGGCTGGCACAACAATTCTGAGTAGAGACATTGTGCATTTTGAACTAAACTGTAAAATCTAAATAGTGCCTCAACTATAAGGCTGTAATGATCCCAAAAGGAATCTATTTTTTAAAGGCATTTGCTGCACTGGTTCCCTTCATCAGTTAAGGACAATACTGTAACTCTAAACTAAGAGCAAGTAATCTTGGTGCCTGCATGTGACCTTATTCTTAACCTCATTAGGCTTAGCTGTTAGAAACAAATGAAGACATGACAGAAACCAGGAGGTTTGTAATATTTGTATTAATAACAATATTCCCCTTTCCCTGTCAGGAAACCATCAATAGCAGTATAATCAATATTCCCTTGTGTCCTTAGGAACATTAGTAAAATTGTGTCACTTCTAAGGAAATCTAGGTTTACATGTCCTACATGCAAACACAGGGTTAGAGCAAGTATAATTATATTAACACACATTACATATTCTCACTGAGAGGAAATTATTTTAGAAGTCTATACAGCCCAGGTTATTCTGCTGAGTTTTGCATTATTTTTCTATTAGCTTGTTTACCCAGATCTATATTTGTATACTGTAGCAGAACTATCATGCAATTTTAATTAAAATGGCTCTCAATATTCCATTATTTAAGACATGATGTGAAAGAATACCTTGAAGCAGATGCGGATCACTGTTTCAGATTTTATCCGATATAAGCCACAAAAATGTTACACAGAAACTTGAAAAAATTAAATATGTTAATAAAGTATGTTTATAAAAAGCACTGGTGGTTGTTTCAGTGGCTGTTCTCAATCTGCTCCATGCAATTATTAACACTGAGGCAAAGTTCCAATTTTACAAAAGTATTGTTTTGCCAACTTCAATGTCAGTGAAACATGGAAGATGACCTGGGAGGTGGCACAAACACTAAATGTGTTCCATTAGCGGTGTCTTTGAAAGACCCTGACATTACCTAACATGATTGTTGATTCTACAGTCCAGATCCTACATGCTGAGATCCTACAAAAAAGTAACTCATGTGAATACAGGACATTGTGATACAACAGACAATGTGCTTCATGAGACAAGTTTCATATCTTCCAGATCAGCATCATGCCAAGACTGCAATCAGCTGGATAACACGGAAGAGATGCCGATTCTATAAAACTTGGTGCAGAACATTCCATGAAATTTGTAAATTGCTGATATCCCATTGGAACAACCATAAACATCTGCAGATGATCAAAAAGTTTGGAAAGAATCTGCTGCTCAATATGCGCATCGTTAGAAGAGGATCTATTACTACATGAAAAGCAAAGTACATTACCTTTTATTGTTGCCAAAATGAAGAAGGCAATTATAGCATTGTTGATGGCACAGGTGGATTTTGCCACACAAGACAACACAGTGTATGGATTCAACAGGTAACTGAAAAAAAAGGCATCCAAGTTCACATGTATCTTGTCAATTCCCTTTTTTCCTTTACTTGAAAAAAACATAAGCATAGCCTTGGTAGATCAAGCCAAGGCCCATCTTAGCACAGATTTTCCCCCCTCAAAATTGCCAAAACAGATGCTTCATGAGAGGTTTACAACTGGAATTGATATAGAAGAGATATACTCCTCTTTCATTTTTGCTACTCTTCAACTTAATCCAGATTGAATCCCAAGATTAATAATCCTTATTAATCTTGATGGATATGTCCTCCATGAATTTATCCAAATCTGTGATAATAAATTCCATAAATCAATTACGTACTGTGTGGTTCTCTTTTGCCTCTTTTGTCCAAAATCTCTTTCCAGTCAACTTCAATGGATTAACTGTAATTCTACTATTTTAAGAGAGGGAGAAATTTTTTTTTCCATTTCCTCCTTGATTTTAAACACCTTAATCATGTATCCCTGCAGTTGTCTTTTCTCCAAGCTAAAGAATCCCAAACATTTGGGATTCTGCACTCAATCACAAAACCAGTATGTGAAGGGAAAGTGAATGGCTTGAAGTGAAAGATAAGCAAGTTGTAGTTGGATAGAGGTGGTGGCCCTCAAAAAGAGAAAAGAGAGAACAAATGCAATGTATGAAGAATTGTGCAAACATAATACAAGCAAGAATAGTTTTTAAAGTATGGAAAGGTATACTTAATGATGTTGGTGTAAACTAGGTTTCTTTTTTCTCATATTTCCTGTCTTTAATTTCATCTGCTTAGTACTCTTTTATGATACTTTACTTAATATTTGCTTTCCTGGAAGGCAATACCATGTGGATATGTACATAATAACAAAAGTACTCACACATTCCAATCACTAGGAGACCTCTCCCCTTTGGCAAATAAAATGTAAGACTAATCATTACCTTTATAATAACGAAGTTTTCAGGAATAAAAATGTTCTGGCTCTTTCATCAGACAACTGTATACCTAAATATTTGGTTGTTTGAACAACTCCAGCTGGGGTTTTTTGATCCCTTCAAATCAGTCATGATTCCTGGTGACTGCCTAGACACTTCCTTAAGGTTTCCTTGGCAAGATTTTAGAAGTGGTTTGCTATTCCTTGCTTTCTAGGGCTGAGAGTGAATGACTGGCCCAAAGTCACACAGTTGGCTTTGTGCCTAAGACAGGACTAGAACACAATCTTCCATTTTCTAGCCTGATGCCTTAACCACTTCACTAAACTGTGTTTCTTAATTGGGGTATAAATCTAATTTAAACAAATCTCAAATCCTGAGCTGAGTAGCACACCTCAATAGACTTCTAAAAAAGCAAAATAAGAGGCACCATGTCTTCAAAAATAAAGTAAATGTTCTGATGCTCTCTGCATAAGGAAGATAAACCAACTAGTTTCCAATTTCTATTGAAAAGCAATACTTACAACAGTGCTACTTTGAGAGGAACATAGTACATTTCTACAGGAGTCCGGATAAGCTCTGCAGCATCAGATGCATATTTATCCAATTCTATTAGCAGTTTTTGCTTTTTAAACTGAACACAAAGAAAAAAAATGTGTAAGTAAAAATAATGTATTTGTTTAGCAATTCTGCCTATTTTTATGATTCCTGCAATTAATACTTAACTCCCCAGACTGTTATCCAGGTTTATAAATTCAACATTTGCACCAGTTTGACTTATCACCATTACATAAGCTCTGACAAGATGCAATATATAGTAAACTAAAGCATATTCAACTCCCAACAGGATAACTTAATCATGCCAGCTATCTTCAACATATTCCCTAACATGTATTTTAAACAGCTGCTGGCTTGCATTATTGTGTCCTCTGCTTATGCCCACGTGTTCCTACCATTGTCTGAAACTTCTGTCTGCAGATAAACATACAAAATTATCCTAAAACAAGCTGTGGGATATTTCAGCTGGTTTCCTCAGTTGGTAACACTAGAAGTCACAAACAATACAGCAGAGGGAAGGGGAGGAGCTAGCTATTATTAAGAAACACATTCATGACCGTTCATGGTTTATACTCATCATTAACTCATTATAGTTTGCTATCTAAATTGTAACACTAACTAATTGGCAATGACTCTGAGCACTGTACAGTAACATTTAGAAATGTCATAAAATATAAGATATAATAACAAAAGAAAACTGACATTCAAATGAGTTTACCAATGGCCCAGGATCTGCCAAAAAACTCCCAAATTTTAACATTTTCCTGAAGGTGAAGTGGGCAAGTGCTGTTCCAGAGAGTAGGAGTAGCAACATAAAAAACATGCCTCCATTGCACTGATGCAGGGGTGTCAAACTCGTAACGTCACGTGACATGTCGTGACGTATCGCGACTTTTTTGCCACTGCCAAAAATGGGGTGGGCACGGTTTCACTATGATGCATCCGGCCCACGGGCCAGCAATTCTACACCCCTGCACTGATGGGACCCAGACCATACTAACCCTGCCAGATCTTATGGGATGGGCAGAATATGCATAATTATATTTAAAGTAACAATTTATTCATCTTGAAGACACATTAAATTAACTTTGCTCTGCAAAAATAAACAAAGAACCCTACTCCATCCCTTGTTCTTGATTTAAGCACAAACCCTTGCTTTTAAATATAATTGTGTATATTCTGCCCATCCTATAAGATTTGACAGGGCTAGCATTAGCCCCATCAGTGCCATGGAGGCATGTTTCTTATGTTGCTATTCCTACTCCCTGAAACATCATTCCCCTCTTCACCTTCAGGAAAAAGTTAAAATGTTGGGATTTGGGGCAGATCCTGAATCCATCTAAAACTAGAAGTGCTAGATGTTCAATATGGATTGAGAATAGTTCTGCCAACAACTGACACATGAAATCATTCCAAAGTGTATGTTGAATGGAATCCAGTTCACTGCAAGGCAGTTCCAAGTCAAGGTTTCTGAATATACCAGCCTTCCTCAGCTGCATACTTTCCAAATGTCTTCTGATAACTCCCAGAATTCTCGGCCCAAATAAACAATATGTAAAATATTAAGAAAAAAACATTGCTGTATTTAGAAATAGAAGCTGAGAAGGAGATAACAGTATGAAGAAAATGCACTGAAAGTAATATAAGTAAAAACTGGCACTTATCTACTCACCAAAACTTTGTTGTAATCCTGAACAGCTAAATAAAGTGCTATAGCTGTCAAAATATCTGTAAACTGAAGGGAAAACAAATCAAAGGAATACCAAAACACACGTTACTTTCTTAATGCAAAGTTGTACTTTAGTGATTAAAAAAGTGATTTTCTAAATTAACATCAGTACTGTCTGAACAAATTAGTTCATATTACTAAATACTGTAATTAAACAATGCCCTGGCTATGTGGGTTAGAGCAGGGAAGCCATGGGTAGAATTTCACAAGATGGCATCAAGGAACTGTCTCATTTTTATGAGGCATAAAAATTCCTTTGTCAGAGAAAGTATTTCTGGTAGTATTTTAGTATTTTACTGTATTTTCAACTTGCCTGCAATGGATTTTTTATACACATCCCTATGGCTAAGTGATTGTTATTTTAGATACGGTAGTTATGAAAGGGTGATTATGTATATAAACTTTTAGATGTCCTGGTCTCAATATAAACAATTGTGAAACTTGTTTTCACATACATGATTCAATAAATTAGTTAATGTACTCTGGGATATTCAGTTTGTCCCTTCCAACTTTATTATTATTATTATTATTATTATTATTATTATTATTATTATTATTATTATTATTATTATTATTATTATTATTATTATTATTTGCAATAAATGCCAAGACATTATATTACAATTCCTTAAACAATTTCCAATGCCTTGGATAATTATTCAGCAGTAGGACAGCTTGTTCTGAACAAAACTTGGGCAGCAAAGAGAGACAGAAAACTATCATCCAGATTTTAGCAGTCCAGATGTGGCAGTCCAGATGTGGTGCCCTATCAAAAACTTTGAAAATATGGAAAGATACTCACAGAGAACATGAAGGTGAACAATGCTGCTGTACATGTAACACCAACCAATTTTTCCACATTTTTTTTCTTTTAAAAATACACAATGTTATCCTAAACATGTTTTTTCAAGAATCCTACTAAGTTCCATAAGATCAGACATGTCAAACTCGCGACGTCATGTGACGTCGCACAACGTATCGGGACGGTTTTGCCATTGCCGGCAATGGGGTGGGCACGGCTTCCGGATGACGCGTCTGGCCCACGGGCCGGCAGTTTGACACCCCTGCATAAGATCCTAATGAGTCCTTAGTGTGCTTAGACTTTCAGCCAGATTCAGGTCTTTAAAAAAGTGTATATCTTAAGTTAAAAAATGTGTTCTATATACAGAAGAAATCAAAGAATAAATTCGGAAAAGAAAGCCAATTATTTGATGGATAAAAATTACATACCATAAATACTAGTTCAGCATAATCAATCAGGAAATGAAAGAGGTATATTATAAATGGTGTCTAGGGGGGAAAAAAGGAAAAATTATCTTAAACAGCCTGTCTTTTGATCAAAGCTTATTTATTAATTGGTAGAAATGATTGCTATGTAGTATCTTCTAAGTATGTTTTTTACAGAGAATACCCAAAATCATTATTGCAGTAATTCACTGTGCTAGTCTAAATGATGCAATAGAAAAAATACTGAAGTAGGAAAAGGCAACTTACAACCATTCATTTAGTGACCATTTGAAGTTACAACAGCACCGAAAAAAGTAACTTACAACCAGTTTTCACACTTATGACAGCATCCCTTGGCCATATGATCAAGATTCAGCTGGCAACTGGCATGTATTTGTGACAGTCGCACTGTCCCAGGATCATGGGATCATCATTGGTAACCTTCCTGGCCAGCTTTCAATAAGCAAAGTCAATTGGGGAAGTTAGATTTGCTTATTGACCGCATGATTATTTAACAACTGCAGCGATTCGCTTAACATCTGTGGCAAAAAAAAGTTATAAAAAGGGGCAAAGCTCACTTAACAACTGCCTTGCTTAGCAACGAAATGTTTGGGCTCAATTGTGGTTGTATGTCACTACCTGTAGTCACAAGCCAGAGTTTGATATTTAGGGGTGCGAGCTTAGTTTGTACCATGGCATACAAAAACTATATGCTTAAGTCTGCAAAAAAAGATTGCTTATATTTTTAGTTTTGATAATTTCAGTGTTATAAAGGGGAAAATCTTACTTTTGTACAATGTTAATATTTTAACAGCCAATAAAGTAAAAAAAATCCTACAGTATTAAAGTTACAGTAATAATGACTCATAGTATGAAACCCTATTAATGTTTTTTATGATAAATGGAACTGGAGGACAACTTCATTTCCAAGCATAATGCTCCACTTTAAACGTCATTTTAATTTCATTTTTCCTTTATGCATAGCAATAGAAGTAGCATATAGGCTTATATAATGCCCCCTAGTACTTTACACCTTTTACGAATGTCTTTGTAACTGTGTCACTGGCCTGATTCATTACCCACATGAAATCATGTTAGCTTTAATATGTTGTATGAACTGAACATTATGACTTGAAAAGCATGATTTGTATCTTAGCATGTTGAGTGAAACTGGCCTACTGTTAGGATCAAACTCCAGGCTGTGGACAGTTTGCCTGCAATACTGCCCTTTAACCACTTTAACCATAATAAATAAGCCATCATTTAAGTTTCCTAAAACACTCTGAGAAAAATCTACAAATCTTTTTGCTACTGAACGGACACTGTAAAGATAAAATTTGGTATTTTAAAAATATTTTACTAATTATACATGTGGTAAGCAGGTTCCTGAGGGAGAAAGGACCTGTTCCTTTTCTCCTTATGTCAAGAATATGAGATATATTTGTATTTCCTGTAGTCACCATCTGCACTGTAGAATTATATCTATTTATTTCAATTAATATTTTATATACTTTTTCATTTTGTAAAAACATTCCTAAAGCAGGAAATAATAGACTTTAACAAGTAACTTGAGATGCCAGTTTTGAGTTATTTCTATTATCAAAAAAAATTAAAAATAAACATTCTCATGAATTGCTTTGTGTGTCCACCTATGACTCAACAGCTCAAGTGAGAAGGCAATATAATTCTATTAAGCCCTACAGACTCTTTTACATTATATTCTCATCTTTAATATAAAAAGCATTTTATAGGGGAGTAACGATATTGAAGCAGTTCACAACAAAAACTGTATATACTTACTTCATGAAAGATATCCCCGGAATACGGAGATACACCCAAATCAAGTAAGGCTAGTCCTTCAACAACTGGAAAATAGAAAATAAATTCTTGTTCATCTAAATCCTTCTTAAACAGCATCACTCTGAACCGTTCACAGTTCTGGGCATTATCAAGGACAAAAAGAGCATGACCAAGGGTAGACAGTACATAAGCTTCTTCGCTGGCTATTAGCATTCTATATATTTTGGTTATTAAGTTTCTTACAAAATTGCTAGATGACTACATCTCTTTAGTACTGCAAAAGACATCACTTATGTTCTAACTTTTTGCATCACAGAGATCTGGGATGTCTTAAGTGTCAAAGAACGGGTCCGTACCTGGATTTGTAGAAATCAAAGACATTCATCTAGAAGACAGCCTATTCATGATACTTAGATCTAAAGTGTGATTTACTTGCAGCTTAGAATGTTATATGAACCCTACTCTTTTGGTTTGGAATGTATAGCTTGGTGAAATTCTGGAGCCTTTTTTACATCTCAGGCCAAAAATCACAAAGGCAAGATAACTTCTTGGACAAAGCCGTTAGAAAAGCAAAGCTCCTTGCAAAGAAACTGCTCGCAGTCCCAAAATTTCTGCTGCTTTCCTTCTTCCTTCCCTATGTTTATTTAGCCCAGGGGTAAGGCAACCTTGGCTCTTTTATGACTCTTGGACTTCAACTCCCAGAATTCCTGAGCCAGCTATGCTGGCTCAGGAATTCTGGGAGTTGAAGTCCACGAGTCATAAAAGAGCCAAGGTTGCCTACCCCTGATTTAGCCCTTCCTTAGACTCAAACCTGCGATCCCAAGACTCAAGGCTTAGTCCTAAGAAAAACCTGGTTACCTCACTCCACAAAACATGAACTCAATAGCCAGGAGGGGCTCACCCAATCCGCTAGGTTACAATACATCGTGCCAAGGCAGCCAAAGCATTCTTGACACCAACGCATCATTCCCAAGGTTAAAAAAACCCGCTCGGTCACGACCACTCCAAGGCTCGCGGGGGCGGAAGGTCGACGAGGCGCGGCGCTTCCAGGTGCCCTTTGAGGACCACCAATCCCCACCCCCGTCCCCATCCGTAGGCCTCACCTCGTTTCCAGGCATTTAAAGGAGACGCCACCTCCACCCTCTCAGCGATGAGTCCGACCAGGCTGGAGCGGAATAAAGCGGCCCGAACCGTTACGGCTACCAAAAGCACCAACACTAAGGGAGCCGCCATTTTAGGGTAGAACACCGGCCTAAACTAGCAGTAGTTCCCACGCTAGTCTGTTGCATTGGGGATCTACAGGGCAGGTTACAGGAAGAACACTACAACTCCCAGAAGCCATTGTGCAGCCTTTACTTCCCGAAGACGATGGCGAAAGAGTTAGGACAAACTACGGATGAATGAGCATAGCGAGATACGCTCTTCTTCGGGCTGTTTTGTATTGTACTGTATTGCATTTCTTGAAACGTTACCAAAAAGATTTTTTTTAAAAAAAAAAATATAGGAATGATTATTGATTCGGTGTTTCGCTCGGATCTTCTCCCTAAAACCAGAAAACATGTTATAATTTCTGAATAACAAGAAATGATACAACTTATTTTATTTATTTGTATCTCGCCTTTATTACTTTTACACATAACTTAAGGCAGTGAATATATCCAAGACATCATCTTCTTCCTGGTTTCCTTACAACAACAACTCTGCGAGGTGGGTTGCTGGCCCATAGTTAATTATTCAGTTATTTGAATTCAATTTTTGAAAATATGCATCAATTTGAGAGCCTTATTTTAAGAGTCCTACTAAGCAGGATTGCAATTCTATTTACATTTACTTGGAAGTAAATTCCATTAAATTTGCAGAATTAAAGAGGTCTGTAAGGAGCCATTTAGGTCATTAAATCCAATCCCTATTTCACACTATTGCATAAATATGCTGTCTAGCCTTTGAGTAATTATGGGGAAGGAGAATTCACCACAGCTCTAGGTAATTGGTACCACAGTTGAGCTGCTCTAATTATTATGGATGAGTACCCAGAAAATTTGTACTGTTGTCCTTGCCAGTAGCCAGAAAAGAAAGAGGTGAAGCCAAAGATAGTAATCGGTTGCCAGAGTGAAGGTAAGCGGGCTCTGCAGACTGGAAGAAATTGCAAAATTCAATCTCGAAAAGGACAACACTAATTTATAATCAAGTATTAAACCAAGATCTTTTTCAGATAGTTTCCATTTTATACTTGTGCACTTGATTTCGAAAGTGAAAAACTTGGCTTTTTACTCTTGTCACGTTCATTACGCTACTTCCAGCCTATTCCTCTAACCAAATGATGATGATGATGATAATAATTAATAATAATAATAATAATAATAATAATAATAATAATAATAATAATAATAATAATAATAATAAAGTTGGAAGGGAACTTGGAGGTCATTTAGTCCAACCCCCTGCTCAGGCAGGAAACCCTATACCAGGCATGTCAAACTTGCGATGTCACATGATGTTGCGCTACGTATCGCAACTTTTCCCTCATTGCCGGCACGGATGGGCGCGGTTTTGGCATAACGCATCTGGCCCACGGGCCGGCAGTTTGACATGCCTGCCCTATACCATTTCAGACAAATGGCTGTCCAGTCTCTTCTTAAAACCTTCCAGTGTTGGAGCATTCACAGCTTCTGGAGGCAGGTTGTTCCACTGATTAATTGTTCTAACTGTCAGGAAATTTCTCCTTAGTTCTAGGTTGCTTCTCTCTTTGGTTGGTTTCCATCCGTTGCTTCTTGTCCTGCCCTCAGGTGCTTTGGAGAATAGCTTGACTCCCGCCTCTTTGTAGCACCCCCTGAGATATTGGAACACTGCTATCATGTCCCCCCTCATCCTTCTCTTCATTAAACTAGACATACCCAATTCTAGCAGTGTTTAGTGTTTCTTAAAGTTTTAGGTACCCCTGGAGACCCCTAAGACCCTCTCAGAGGTTCATGAAATCAAAATTATTTGCCATCCTATGTGGAAAAATAATACAATATTAAAATCCCATCAAATAATCATGAGAAGCAATTGTGGCAGAAAATGTAATTGATAGGATACTTACTGATAAATATAACCCATACCAACAAAAGCTTTTTTGGGATCTTCCATAATTTTTAAAAGTGGAAAGGGGGCCTGAGACAAAAGACAAATTAAGAAAGACTGCTCTAACCCATGAAGATTATTTTGAAGTTTATTCTGTACTCTAGTGTATTAGCTATATGATACAGTTTTGTGTTGTCTCCAAATTTCTTAGGGATTCCCTGTATATATCCATGGAAATGATTAATGAAAATGTTGAACAATATAAAATCCTGGAATAACTTTTTGGTATTCAACTCAATGTTTCACTTCAGCTTGCTAAGGATCTGTTGATACATATTATCTGAGAACACTTTTATGGTCAACTATCTACAGTATCCACTTAATTTTCATGCCATCCAATCCATGCTTCAGTGGAACTTGATGCTGAGTAAATATGTATAAATTATTCACTGTGAAAAAGTAAACCGAGCAATACTGTTATTAGAGTAACTCAAGATCATTAAAAAATGTGACTTTGACTTTGAGGTACTTTAGTAAAGATAAAGCCCTGATACAGATTTTAGACTGTCACATAGACACACTGACTCTCTCTCTCTCTTAAGAAATGTATTTAAATTTGTTAAAGGACAAATCACAAAAGACATGAATCCTTTGATTAGCTTTTAAACGTTTAAGACACACACACACAATGTTTGTTTTCCTTTAGTTTAAAGTAATAACCACATGACAGTATAAAGAATTTAAATGATGAGTCACCGGACCCCGACCACTGTCTGTGTCACGGAATGGACGTCAGGTCTATGACGTCAAGTTTGTTAGACAGGATTCTCGACAGATCTAAGTGTCTCAGATATTCCGTTGGAGATTGTAGAAGAAATGTGTGCATTATTTTAAGATTGATGAAGATCCATCTATATATAGTGTATGCAGACACAAACTACATTTATCTATATAAATAAAAATGTAAATGTTCATTTGTTCAAAATCTTAAATCTCCGAAAGTTCTTCACCGATTGCTTTGAAATTTTGATACAACGTTGCATTCGAATACGTGCGTGTTTTTATATACCTATATTATATAGATGTCATACCTGTGACAGGTAAAAACATGCTTTTTTGAAAAACAGCGCCATCTGTTGGACGTAAAAGCAACACACGCTTTTACCAGACTGAGCCACAGCAACGCGTGGCTGGGTACAGCTAGTTTTTATATAAAAAGCCACTTTGTTAAAGCTAATTAGTTCTGATTAAAGTCAGGATGAAAGATGATTTAAAAATAGATGCCTGCTCATGTTGATTATAAACAACATCTCTCACACTTAATGTAATAGTATTGCAGGCAATAAAGAATAACACGTGTTAGAGTATACATCTTTTAGATTGCAGTTCACTTCAGTTTCTTAAAAACCTCTCAGAGGAGATGTTTATCAACAATAATGAAAGATACATGAAAAACAAAATGCAGGATCATTAAAATTTTTAATAATAAAAAATTTAAATTTTACCATTTCCCTGTGAGTCAGATTCATTTAAATACAATATATGATATACGTGTGTATGTACATTATTCACGGGGTCACATCCAAGTGTCCACTACCTTAACTTGTGATATCTTTCCTTTGGAATTTTCAAAATATAACGTAGAAATAAGATTATACCTGTGAATAAACAATTTTAGAGTATACCAAGAGGTTGAATTTGGCTACCTTTTCTTCCTACACTGCCCACAGCAGATCAAGAGAAGTATGTATGGGGCTGAAATTGACATTATTTTAATTTTGTGAAGTATACATTCTGAGGTGTACATTGATAATTAACTTTTTAAAATATACTGTAAATTTTGGCATTTGTGTACCCTGCTATAGTGTACCTCATCAGATGTGCTTATACATATTTGGCTCTGAATATGTATAAGAAATTACTTCACCATATTGAGTTATTCCACTAGTATGTCTTAATAGAACAAAGATGGAGACCTATGAAATTTATTGTGACCAATTCAAATATAAGGAGTTTAGAGATTAATTTTTTCTCTTTATTTAGAGAAGCAGGTTGTGTATAATAAATTTCTTGCCTTGTTTTGGAGGAAATCTGCCAAGTAAATAGTTGTATGAACAACTTTTGTGATTTTATACAAAATTCCAACATGGGTGGTTTATCTTTTTCTGTTTAATATGAAGACTATTATAATAAAATAGTTCAATAGGTTTGGGTGGAAAAGAGGGAATTATCACTTCTCATATAATCCATGCTTTAAATGAATTATAGCAGATTCTAATTTTTAGGAATTATGTTGCCATTTTCCTTTGGTTAGAAAGGTGGTATTTGTTTATGAAAGAATGAGTTATTTGCTTGATATGGCTGAATTTCCATTGTAAACATTTCTAAAAAGGTAGATAGCCTTATTATTCTGCTGTAGCAAATAAATAATTAATTGAAGACTTGCTTTACTTGTAAGATTTCTTCTAACTGACCCCAATCTGGAACTCCATGTATGCCTTCTCTTGAATTTCATGTAGCAAGGATAAGATGTACCGGTACTTTTAAATAAACCAAATGTGAAAATAATAAATTGAAATTTAATGTAGTGTTCTTCTTTCACAGAAGGTGGCATCATATATCCTCTTTCTGCAGTTCTAGTTGCAGAAGCAGAGTCTGTCTAGAAAATATAAAACATATTTCCTTATTTTTTTTAAAAAAAGTAATTCCATTTGCAGAAATATACTAAAATTCAGTATATATTTATTGAATACATAAATCACCATCTCTCTGGTATTAAATTAAAATGCCAATAGTTTACTTATTAGGTTTCTTTGCTAGATAAAGATTTAGTGATCTATAAAGATCTACTTTCCTGCATCTGCAGACTGGATTAGAAAAATTATTCCTTGAAAATCCTGGCAAGGTGCTGCCAGTTAGCACTGAAATATCAATTTAAATGGTTCAATAATGTTACGTGATGAGAAGTACCGTATTTTCCGGCGTATAAGACGACTTTCTAAACCCTGAAAATCTTCTCAAAAGTCGGGGGTCGTCTTATACGCCCAGTCATCTTATACGCCGGAAAATACGGGTATTTTATTCCTTTACACATGTGGTTTGGCATATTACTCATCAAGTTTTCTCTCCTCCCCCTCTCTCTCGCTCAAACTCTATATTTTAACTGGAACAGTTGGGGGTCGTCTCATACGCCCAGTCGTC